TGTAACGAAAAACGTTACATACCTCTTTTTTTACATAATCGGTTAACGAGTGCTAATGCGAACGCGTGGATTCTCTGCGGCTCGCATATAAAAGGAGTTGCGACGGCGCCCGCGCACACATTTCTCACGAGCCGGCATCGCCTACGCGCGCTCCTAATTACTTAATTTGCAAATATAAATCCGTATTTCGGCAACTACGACAATTGCTTTTGAAATTAACAATTTGTGAGTATAAGAAGTTCCCGTATTCGGGTGAGTATTCCAATACCACACCACTTATTTTCGTAATTCGCTATTTTTGTAAAATGGCGGTCGCGGAATGTGCATTCGTTAATTACGCGGTTCCTGTACATCATTAGGTCAAACAAATACGTTCCCTTACGGCTGGCAGCAACAATCCAGCAGCCAGTTATTTAATTTTGATGAATCCGCGTAATTAACGAAGGCACATGCGATGCCACGCGGTTTTACGTGACTTGACCTTTTAAACTTTCCTTTTAGTCAACGTGTCATTTCACAATTGTATTTATTTCGTTTTATTTAGCTTTGTTCTTGCTTGTGGGTGCCTTATGCCTACCCACAAGTACTTAACCTTTGTTATTTTTCATTTTAAATTCCGTTGTGATTTTCTCCCGGCAGCAGGATTAATACGTAAGCCTTCCCTCATTGGGTAAAGCATTCCTTAAGCTGCCGGGACGGAATCGAAACGGGCGCGTGCACAGCAGCGCAGTATACCCGCACTGTAACATGTTACAGGAACTCCGTTAGGGTTTAAAACCCTCGGCCACTACGTGGCCAACACCATCTACAAGCGACGCGCGTCGTGCCTGGCAGCCGCAGTTCCGGGTTCACTTCCCGTCGGAGTCCTCCTTCAACATCTTCCGTCTCCGACACGACAAGGCGCCGGCTATCTACATTCCAGCCGGCCTTTACCCAGGGGAGTGCATAACCCCGGGAGTGCTAACGATCCGTACCTTTAGGCCGGAGCCCACGTATTCATAAATTTTTATGTACCCTGGGATTCATTTCTTTTTTTTAATTAAATCAGTTAACCGCCCTACCTTCTTTTATTTTCACCCTTATTAGGGAAAGGTAGGGAACCCAGGTTACAACAGGACCACCACGCTCCCGCTCCATGTCTCCGGTATAGTGCCAGTGTGCAAGAACGGAGTTGAAAAACTTGGCTTGGCTCCTTTAATAAAATATTTCCGCCAGTCTTAATGAAATATATAAAATTTTTCTACTTCCGCGAGTATTTCTGATTTAGAGGCGACCGTGTTTCCCTGACCGTGCTACTTGTACAACCTTCAAGGAGTACCTCTTGGTTATTTTCAAAACAAGGTTCGTCACCCTCGCCGACACGCTTCCGATTTCCACAACATTGTTAACAAGTGACTTATTGTCGACACAACCGACACCACCCAGAGAAAGTTGGTCACCCTCTCTGAAGTAGAGCAAGCTACCTGACTCGAGACTTATCGTGTCCTCGCCCTGTCTTCGGATTTCAGATAATCCTACGATGTCCTATTTGATGCGACTTAACTCTACTTCGAGTTCCGCGATATGCTCGTCCAGCCGCAGCGTGCGTCCATTATACGTAGCCAGATTCAGTTGATTGCGGCAGCCATCCTTAGCCCGGGATTTTTAGCACCTGCAACCCAACCGTTACCATGGCCGCTACCGCGATGACCAGGAATAGAGACGCAACCGGGAACTGGGGGCCATTTTGACGTTATAGTGCTGCTCATTTAGGAGTAATGCCCTTGTCACCGTGGCCGTAGTTCGAGACTTATTTCTGCGATAATGCTGCTGCCCATTACCGTTTAAGCTATTTTATAGGTCCCGAGTTTACGAAATGGTTATACCGCCATTTATCGGTCGTTAGAGCTTTGTTCGTTGGTTAGCAAAATGCACCACGAGCAGGTGAGGTTGACTGTTGGTGATTCTATAGGGATAGTAGTCGATCTCCTTGCACCCCATAATGGTCTCAAATATGGTTCAATAAACAACAATTATGGATTTTGCAAATGGCGTTTGCGAATGGTTTTTTGTTTATGTTGTAAAAAAAGACGCATGCAGCCATGATGGATTGTAAAAAAAGCAAAATTTTTATATAGAAAAAAAAAATTAAATCAATTATAAGAAATTCTTAATAATAACTATTTAAGTATTATGCAGCTGAATCGCAATAAAATTTCTGTTTAGATAACATTTTAAGCGAATGTTTTGATTTTGAACTTGAGTAACCTCCTTGCTTAGCCTATGTAAGGAAACATGTCGTGCTATAAATTTAAAAAAAACTCCTTACCGATCACGGCTGTAATGGAAGAAAAAAAGGCCCGAGGGTTTTATTTGGAGCATTATAGTCAAGTTAGCCACCATGCAATCGTACTATTTACGAGCAAGTGTTATGAAAAGAAACAAACAAAACAATTACTCAGAACAATTAATCGAATTACTTCAGTTTACTAATTTTTAAAGATTCGCGCCCTAGGTATAATTAGGTCTCATTTGCTAAATGACTACTTTTCAGGAGAGAGATTTAAATATTCTACGAACGAAATTACACAATAACTTTTTTATGTCTAAAAAGAAGAGTTATAACATGTCACATACATAATATTTTTTATAAAATATTTTTTTTAATAATTTCTTTTATTATTATGTGTAACGACTTAACGTAAGCGACATTTTTTTACCAAAACAGCGTTTTTGATTGCAAATGATATTTTAAACAGTAACGGACTCGACATTTCCCGCCAAAATTAGAAATTATATAATAGAATATAAATAGAAATTATAGCAAACTTTAAAAGCTAACTTT